TTTTTGGGGGGGGGGGGGAGTGGGGATGGGGGCAGGGACTAATAACAGAAATTCCGTATCAAAAAAGATTGAAATGTATGCCCTTCTTCTGCATGTTTTAATTATCATTCCATCATTCTACTAAGTGTTTTTTTATTTTTCTTTGCCCCAGCTACTTTTCCCTCTACTCTTTCAGCAAGTGCCTGGGAATAGGAGCAGGATAAAGAGCAAATCTTTTTTAAAAGAAAGGGTTGTTTGAATGTACTTGATAGTTTTCTTGAGCAGCATTTGCCAGTTAAGTGTTGATAATAGTTATGGCACTCTTGCTGAGTGTGTAACAACAGGATTCTTTTTCAGAATTAATTTGCAAGTTGAACTTTTGAAGCCTCTGAAATGTTTTTAAGGCTGTCTGTTGGTGGTTGGAGTTACAAGGGGTTTTCTCATCTGCAAATGTTATCTCCAGCTGTATATCTGTACAGCAGGAAAAAGCTAAATTCCTTTCTTTGTCCCATCTCCTAGTCTACAAAGGATCAGAGACTGGTGTATTCTGGCAGACTGCTTCCTGATCATCTGCAGCTGAAAGATGTTCTCAGAAAAGTAAGCTTTATATCAACACCATATGATATTTGATCAAAACCCCTTTTTGGGAAATAGGAGTTTAGATTTGTGTTGTTTAGCTTCAATTTATCATTGCTGTATTGGGAGATATAACCATATAATGTTGATATGTTCAGGAAAATGTATTTGCAAGTATCCCTCATATGTAGGATTGTGATACTTGTGGACTGAGGCATGTTTCCGGTTGGTGGGAGAGCAAGTAGGCTATGTAAGTCCCAAACAAGTGATATGTAGTGTAGAGTGACTTCTTTGGACAGTTCCCACTATGACCTAAATGGAATCATTTAACAGATTTGTGTTGGGTTTGGGACATCAAACCAACAAGACTTTTCATTGCTTGTACATACTTAAATCCAAGAACTTGCATTAAAAATGGCAGTTGTGTAAGCAAGTTAAAGGTAATGTATTTATATGCAAAACCAGAATTCTAAATTCCTGGATGGTTTTGCTCAGAAAGCTATTTGTTGTACAGGTTCCTGATGATATTTGAATGTTCTTGTGTTTTTATTTTTTTTCTTACTCTGCTGGTTCATCTTGGAAAAAATAGTTTTACTAATCTAACTTTGGATTCTCCAGTCAACATTTAAATTAAATCCAATTCCTAAATACAAATGACATTTGATGTAGGAAATCTTGAAATACATCCACTTGGTTCTCAAATTGGTTCAAATAGTTTGTGTTGATGGTACCAAGTAATAGGGACTTCATTAAGTTAGTAAAGTTCTTAAAAAATCTATAGAATAAGATGATATTTAGGACAGATTGTCAAGAACTTTGTTTCAATTTTGATGGTAACAGAAAACAATGCATTATGTTGAATAGTCTTTAAATTCCTTGTAAACTGTTCAGGGTGCATCAATAGCTATATTTGGAAAATACTTTAGGTCATTAAACAATTACACAGTTTTTAATCCTATGAGATGGGTGAGTTTGTAATACAATACCTCAGTGTTGGTAATAATACTTGTTTTGTAGTGAATTAAGGTAAAAAAACAATGTACAGACTGCAAGAGCCGGTTGTGTTTTAGTATTTAGTATGGAGGAAAATCTCTAAATGAGAATAATGCTTTAGTGAAAGTGGGCAACTCAACTTCTGTATTAAGTATGGAGAAACCAATGCAGAGGAGTCTTCAGCAGACTAACACTGTTGTTACTTTATAATCTTAATTCTGAAATGAATTTTATTAAACTGGATTTAACTACTTACCAAAAAATGATTGAAATTTACTATGTATGGGTTTGCTAGAAAACTGGAGCTGGACTATTGCCAACCCATGTATATCTTGTACCACTTACAGGTTTACGAAAATGATTACATAATTTAACTTCAAAACTTAGTTTTGCTTGTTAAGGACAAAAGGAAGTCTGAATACCTTAAACTCACTTGGCCTGCTTACAACAGGCTAGTTCTAGGAAACACAACTTCAAACTTTGCTTATGTACTGGAGGAGAAACTTTGCCTAATGGATGTCTTCCTTCACTGTACAGGAACTGTATTTGACTTTAAAGGCATTTTAGTAGGTATAGGCCTTGGGTTTAGTTAAAGAAATTGAATTTAGAAACATACTCATCAGTCTTAAGCACAAAGTTAAAAATTTGTGTTCAAGGAAGAGGAGTTCCTTGTGCTCAAGCTTTTAAGAGCTTTTGGGGAAAAAGGTATGATTACTTAAGTTCAATCTCATTCTCTGCCATAATCTCCTACTTGATGAACTATAAATTCCTGATGTTATCTGAGGATTTACTGACTCAAATTAGCTTTGTGGTACTTGATCTTTGATACTGAGCCGTGTCATTTTACTGATACCTTGAGGCTGTAAGTTGTGGTGCTCTTCAAGCATACTTTTCATATTCTTCAATGTGTTACGTATGAATGGAAATATATTATGACAAACTCAGATTGAATAAATCTGTACAAGGTAAGCTTACAAGTAGTATGTCTAGTTTCCTTTGCCTCTCCGAGTGGTGTAAGTTCTTCTCTAGAAATGAAGGTAACTAGTTAGATTAAAGGCTTTTGATGTGGTCGAAATGCTGATCGCCTGGTGTTCAGTGCTCTCTGATCATTGCTTATGATCACTGACTAGTAAGATACTACACTTAAGGTATAATGAGGTTATGCTTGGGGCTAGAAACTGATACATGCGGAGGCATTTAAATGAGTGTGGATATGGATAGGCTATGCTAGCAGTAATGCATAATGGTGTATAAAAGCAGTTATCCATTTTTTTCCTTACTCCTACAGAATAAAACTTAAAAATGAATAAGTGTGTGTTTTAACATTTTTAAAAATAGTTTAAAAAAAAAAATTAAAGCCTGGTATTTCTAAATGTCATCTCATTAAAAACTGTGACTTGACTGCACCACGCTGATTCCAGAAGGGGACAGAAATTTTTTTTGTTGTTGCTTTTTTCTTTAAAATTTGGTTACTGAGAAAGCTGTAATGTGCAATTTAAATACAGTCATAGCTGTTCTTGTTGCTATGGCCATACAAGCTTCAGGCATGCTGATATAATGGCATGTTTTCATGTGTTACAGTGAAAGAGCTACAGATTGAAGTTGTTAAGGTATCCATGTTGGAGGGGAGCATATTCATGAAGAATTGGCGTGGGCTGGTTGCTTGCATGCTGACATGGCTTCAAGTGGTGCCACTTGTTCACTTCCTCAGTTTCAAATATTTAGGAATACTCAAGTCCCATCTAGCACTTTGAACAGCATTCCCCAAGTGTGGAATATTTGTGGGGGCTCTTCAGTTGGGCATCTGCATGTTAGGCTTGAACCAAGCTTAGACTGGAGTGAGGTGGAGGAAATGGTTGGTACATTTTTTTCTTGCCTTGGTCTGCTTGTGGAATTCTAGCACCTACACTTTTCATTTACCCTGATGTCTTTATTGAATAACATTCTTCGTTAGCTCTCAATGCAAATTGTACGGATTCTTAACTTTAGGGAAACTGAGCCCTGTGAAGGGTTTGAGATTTTTCCAAAATAAAAGTTAAAGCTTATGATATACTTACGTTTGTCTCTGTGGTTTTGCATTGGTTCTGCTATATTGCAGTTCTAGGGAAGACTGGGGGTAAGTCAATGTTCGGTATGTCATTGTGGACAGCTGCTAAGAAAACATTTGTTGTGAAACAGACTTCTCTTGTGCTAAGCTCAAGTTTTGCTTTATGGTCTCTCCATTTTGTCTAATGTTTCTTTACTGATTGCAAATGCAACTTTGAAAGTAGATTTTTTAAAGGCATTTTTTACTTGTAAATTTCTCAAATATTGTTGCTTTAGCTCTTCAATTTCTTTAATTTTTAGCAAGATGAATATCATATGGTTCATCTGGTATGTACTTCCCGGACACCCCCAAGTTCTCCAAAACCCAGCACCAGTAGAGAAGGTCACGGAGCTTCAACCTCCAGCAGTAGCTCAGTGAGTTTTTTTTCATACACAGGACATGACTTTGTTCTACACCGAGGAAGCTTTACAGGAATTTCTCTTTTAATTTTTAAAATTCGACTGTAAAATAGTGTGGTGGAAATAGAGCATGCCATATGAGGTTGTACAATTAGACTTGACTATTTAAGGGTGTCACTTTATTAAAAAAACGACCTTTTTTCAAATTGTAACACAGTTACGTTTCTTAGATGATAAAGCACTACTTTTTCTAAGCTATTCTTTATTTTTAACACTTTATGAAAAAGTACACTTTCCTTTCTCTTCAAGTCCCCATATCTTTGGCAGAAATTGAGCAGTGTATTCAAGTTTTTAAAAAAAACAAAACAAACAAAAACTAGAACCAAACCACAAACAAGTTCTGATCTATTTTGTGAAAATTTGTACAGCTCAAGAGAGACCAGTCACATTAGTCTCCTTGTTGTGAGATAAACAGGTGGAGCTTGGCCAGTGTTCAGTTTGCTCAACAGGAATTGGCCTGTACTTATGTAGTAGCTTCAAGGTAGTCATAATGTCTGTAAGACAGTGAGAAGTAGAAAGTGTTTTTAATGTTTTATTAGTTAAGCTGTTCACAGAACACTTGTTTAGGGTGTTTTGAGTCTTCCCCTCTTCACACCCTCTGAAAAGATGCTATTTTTTGGTTGTACTCTGTTTTAACAGAAGGGCAATTTATGTTTCTGTTGATGACTTGGTCGTCATCAGTGTAATTTTTCTGGCTTTTTCCAGAGCTTGGCAGTATCACTAAGTGAATCTTGAAAGTTAGTCAGAAAGGAAAGTATACAAAACCATTGTAGGCACTTCTCATCTGTGGTGTGTTGTCTACCAACATATGTGAAATACCCTTCCAGTAATAAACTGTCTGTCTTCATTGTTCTGTCAGCAGGGTAGTGTTTCTGACTCTGTGACAGTCAGAAATAGGAGCAGTTTAAGCAGTAGTAGAGAGTGGACAGTGGTTACATAATCTTTTCAAAGGCTGTATTTATGCCTCTGCTTGCAGGCAGGACACAGGGGGCCTCCTTTGTGATTGTTTTATTGCTACATAGATCAGTTGTAAATGTCTTATTTAAATGACTGTATTAATGACTGCTTAAAGCAGTCAGTATGCACATTGTTAAGTTCATAATACTTTCAAGGAAACGACCTAAACACAAAGCTTGAAATGGCCTTTGTTCTTCCATTTGTTTTTTATTTTTATTCCTCACCCCTGTCTAGTGGTAAATTTTTCTTGTTTTCCTTTGTAGGGCAAATGTGATATGGATGTCTTAGGAAGTGAGGAGCTGCAATTACTTGAGTTGTCAAAGTTGAAGAGGATTTTGCTACTGAGTAAACATTGCAGTAATGCTTAGCAACAGGATTTTGGGATTTATTGAAACCAAAATAATGCATATTAATGGCCGAATTGCAGTCTTACTAAGGTGACAATCTAGGAGAGCCAGCTGTTGTCCTACTTCTAGGGTTAAGTATTGATCTTGGGAAGCATTGAAGGTCTGACACACTAGTTTTAGGTGTGTTTCTGAGAGCCTAAGTAGTTCCTAGCTACTTCCCTCTTCCCACCCCTGTCCCCTCCCAGCAATGAGTATAGAGGTTTGGATTGGGCAGCTGGCATAGTGAAGGGGATGATAAGTAGAAGGGGAAACGGAAGACAAGAATAGAGGAATAATATTTTAAGCCACTGCAGGCATTGTTGTCTCCAAATATAAAGCCATATCTGATGGTGTAGTTACTTTTGTTAACAGTAGCCACTAGAATTTGTGTTGCTGCTAAATATTCTTTGGATTAAGCTTTAGTTTCGTTTTTGAAACTTTGATTCCCAGTGACTTGTGGCTTTCTCTGGGACCTATTGAGTGTTGAGTCTTTCTGAAAACTTCACTTCTTTTATGTGCACCTCAGTACAACTTTGAATTTCTGTTTTTACTAAAGGCTTGCTAGAACCAACAAAACCCCAGAAGACTTGCCTGATGCCTATATTCTCAATAAAACTTGTGGCAAAACATTAGAGCAAATAGTTTTTTTTTTAAGACACTGTAGTAGATTTTATAACTGTGGCAAAAAGATCCTCAACCTTAATTTTATTTATTTTTAAGAATTTGGACCGTTCTGGATCAACTGCTGCCTCACCTACAAACCAAGAAGCTTCATCTACATCTTTGAACACTAGTGCAGATGGAGTGAGGCATCGTAATCTTCCGCAAGCACAAAGCAATCCTGTACCAAGCCACCAGTTCCCTTATTTAATGCAAGGGTAAGTGAGAGATTGAAGCAATCCCCAGCTCTTGATACTCTTTAAAGCACTTTAAATGTTCAGTTACAGTTACATTTCTTTCACAGTCTGCAAAATGATTTGGCTAGTTCTCTTGAAGCATGTCACACTTAGAAACATTTTTTAATAAGAACATTACTGGTTTTAGCCAGGAGTTGATCAGAGTAAATGTTCTTGGTGTTCCCCTTCTGGCTGTGTTTTGTTTTTCTTCATGCTTTCTGCCCTCAACTTTCTGTTGACAAGTGCAGATGTAATATTTATCTAGTGGGTGTAGTTAGTAATGTAACTAATAAAATTATTGCTTCTGGGTGCTTTTTCTAGTCCTTTATTGTGATCATCAACACTAAATTCTTATCAGAACATGATGGTTCTTAGTTTTTGACACGTAAGAGATGTAACTTCACTCCTCCATGTTGGATTCAACTGTAGAAATGATATGCAGGTGTTTTGAGTATGTGTAAGTGCTTCTGTATCTATATTTTTCATACATACCAATGAAGTGTAACCAGTGTACATTTCCAGATCAGATCTGCTATTATGTAGCTTTCAATGTTCTGTCTGTTTTTTTTCTGCTTAAAAAGCAGCTTTAGGAATTTTTAACCCACTTGACCTTTGCAGCTTCTTAAACAATTTTTTTTTTAATTTCTTCCAAGAGGAAAACAGGAGGATAGTGCATTCTGAGATTATAGCTGTCATTTCCTCAGGGAATGCTTTAAAGATTTCTTTCTGACAGGGTGTTCTCCCTGTACTGTATATATAGAGTTTTTCTTTGGAGAATGTTGAAACAACAAAACCCTATGAACCTGCTAACAGTAACAATTTTTTCTGTCACTGGAAAGAAAACAGGTGTCAAGAACTTTGAAAGTTTATTTAGTTTCAGTTCAACTTACTTGCTTTCTTGCTAGAGTTAACATAGACTTTACTAGTCTTACTAGTTTTCGTCCTGAATTCCTTCAAGTTCTTTTCATTGTTTATCTGAATTACCCTAATTTCTACTGAGAAGAAATTGCTTTTGCAATGGGTGGAACACTTATGCTATTCTCACTGCATGCATCTCTGCAGAAGTGGTTATACTTGCCTTTATGACAAAGCTAAGTGACACTAGGTTGACTGTGAAGACTGCTCCTTAGTGTTATGTAAATTAATTCCGGAAGCAATTTATTGTGTGTTGTGTAGATTACTAATCTGTAAGAAGTTTTAATGTTTTTCTAATTAGCTTTTCACGTAAGCATACCCTGAGAGTGATTTTTCTTTTTTTTCGTGAGTATGCATCATGAACTGAATAGCCTATGGGCTTAAAGGTGACAGAATCATTGTTCAGTCTTTTAGCTGAAATAATTCAATTAAAATACAGTGGGAAGCATCAGTTTGGAAGATATTACTGTGTTTGGGGAAAAAACCCACAAAAATAAATAAAAAGACTATGTCTATATTGGCAAGTAATGTGGATTGAGAGGAGTGGATATGCAGACTGAAAGAAGTGCTGAGAACCTGACATCAGCACTGCACATATTTCAGGGTTTTCAGTCTTGTTTGGACTATGTCTAGTTGGTTACCTGGAATAGGTCCCTATTTCTGGCTAAAGAACATTAGCAGTGCACCTAAATCACAGCTTTCAATTTAATATAATCCAGAAGGAATCCAGATGGTGATCCAAAGAGTGGTGCAAACAAAACTGTAGTACAAGGAAGTGACAGGAGATTTGCTTCAAAAGTAGAGTCCTGACCTGAAAAGAAATGTCAAAATAAATGAACCCTAAATAACCTTAAGCCTTTTCTGTAAAAGTAACTTAATGGAACTGTATCAGAACTTAAGGTAGATCTTTGCTGCAGACTGCTGGGCACTGTCTCTGCTCCACTCCAAATAGTCTGTGTCAGTGCCTGCTGTAGTTTGCTGTCATCTTAAAAACCCCTTTTTAATGCTTTCAGTAATCTTCTCAGATGCATCTGTTTCTGCTTCAGGCCACTGCTACTTGTATTCCAGCAATAAGAAATGCCTTCTGTTTTTTAGCTGCTCTCTTAAACGTTGTTTGGGGCAATGAAATCTAGCTTTAATGTAATTTATACACAGACTGAGACTTGTTAGGAACAATGAAGATTTGTGGCTGAATTCTGTGTTGCTGTGTGGATTTGTCTTCCTGTTTCATGACCAAACACTTATTCTAGCTGCATGATGAACTATAGGCTCTACTGATGGGGAAAGGCCTCCAGATGTTTGAAAATTTATGTCAGGGTCAGTTTTCTTGAGCATTTTGCAATGCTTTCATTACTAATTTGTTGTACAAATAAATAACACGAATGTTAGGTGATTAAATGATGGTTTTGATGGTTTTTCAGCTCCTGGCATAAAGCTTCAGTGTTGTGAGTTGAATACCCTTTGGGAAAACAGCTAACTCAGATTGTTAAAATATTACAGAGAAAGCCATTTAAAACTTTCTGTTGTTTTTGTGCTTTGGTAAATGCTGTTTTCTAAAAAATCTAGACTTGAGGTGGGAATGGGCAAGCAGTTTATATATCTTACCAGGTCAGTCTTTTGCTGTGGCAAGGAAGCACAGCATTGTATGCTCCTATGGACTTAGTCGTGGATCAGGGCCCCGCTGTGCTAGGCAGGTGCAAACAGAACAGATGGGCTCAGTCCTGAAATGGCTTGCATTTCAGATTGGAGAGTACTTGGAAGCAGTAAACAGAGAAGAAACATCAAGGCAGTGAGATTATTTGTCAAGTGTGGGCAGCCCATCTAATGAAATGTTTTTGTATTGTGTACATAGTAATGTTTGAAAGCGAACAACAAAATGATGTACTGACAGCATACTGTATGTTCTAGGACATAAATACCTTGCTTCATCAGTAGCATTTGCTTGGTGTATTTTTTTTTTAAAGTAGCAAATACCATAGTGGAGTACATTGAAATACCACTTCAAGTTGATATCCTAGGCTCATATGAGACTAACACTAAGTGAAATGTCATTGTGGGTCAAGGTCATTAAAAAAATGCATTTATTGTCAGTCATGCAGATGACAGAGATTGAGCTTTTAAGTCTGAATAAAAAGTCTCACTTTTCCATTAGTGGTGAGCAGTATCTTAATGATGACACTAGCTATCTGGTCTGACCTTACTCTGAAATTGAATCCCAGTTAGCTCTTTTTAGGTGTCTTCCATAGATGAAAAGAGGTGATTCTGAGCTTTCTGACCATTTAAGAAGTAGTATGCCTCTTTCTTTTCAGAATATTCTGAAGCCACCTCTACCATTTGAACCTTAAAAACTTTTCTGGCTTATCTAACTGTTCTTCTACTGTCTGCTCTGCTTTGTTCTCCAATCTTGGAATGCCTGTGCCTGTCCAATTTGCTTCTTTGCTCTTGTGTTGTTGGCTGCCATTCTTTTGAAATACTCTTGCTTCCTGCCTCTCTCATCCTTTTGGAAAAAGATAAGTAGAAAGCATGTGCTACTTTCCTTTTTCTTATAACAGCAAGCTGGCTTGCTTTGCCAAGAAGAGCCTCTTCCTTTGGAGAGGTTCTTCCCACTGAAATACATTACACTGTGTTTAGAATTGTTCCGGAATTTCAAAAGCCAGCTTAGTACTCTGGCATCTGTAACAACTGTATAATTGACAACATCTGCTTCATTCTGATTTTTGATGAGCAAATACAATTCTGCTGAACTAGTTGACATTCTAAGGCAGAAGCCAGTTCTTGAATATTGACATCTACTTTTTCTCATTAATGGAGTCAGATCTTGAAAAGCTATGTCTTCCTTCTCAGAAAGTCCTGTCTCCTAGGAAAGCTGTCGGAAAAAAGGAAAAACAAACAACCCCCCCCCAAAATATTTAAATGGGAAAGGAAAGAACATGACATAACTGAAATCTTCTGTGGTTTGTCTTGGTTGACTGGTTTGTTAATCTACTATTAAGCTTTAAGACAACAAGAAAACAACTTTTGAAAGAGTTTGGAAGAAAGTAGAGGTTCAAATCCTGTAATATTTCTAAAAGATGTAGCGGAGAGCTATTAGCTTAAGGCCTCTCAACTTTTGTTAAGCTCAACTTCGCAGCTTTAAAGAACCACCACCCTAAAATCTGTAACTGATGAGAAAAGGAATTGGTGAATTCCTGCAGAACTCACTTGAGCAAGTTGGGTAGCACTGTGTATTGGTGGCTGAGCTGGAGGAAGAAAAGGTATGGTTGAATAGTGAGTGGTCCTTCCTGTTTTCATCCCCCGGTGATATTCTCCCTGCTTGAAACCGAGACATTGCTCAGTGATTTGTCACAACATAGTACTTAACAATGCCCATGTAGAATATTTGAATCATCTTTACATTTTGAGGATCAAGTGTTTTATGAGGGTCAGTGTTTTACGAATTTTGGAGGAGTCTTATTTTTCAGTGTTTGCCAAGTCAGGGGATAGAAAAATACACTTTTAAAGCTTACAGCCATAAAAATAAAAAGCATGATTAATGTTTTTCAGTAGCAGCTTGACAGCTTTGCTGTTCCAGCATGTTAATTCTGCATAAGTAGGTAGCATCAGCAGGGCTGCCAGTTCACCCTTGCAATTTTTGAAAGAAGCCTAGTATATTGCCTATGATTATCTCTGTTTGTATGTGGTATTAAGAAAGTAGCTTTTGATTTGTTCCCCTCCTCCCCCACACTATTGTCAAAACAGGTTATGACTAAATACAAACATAACAAAGCATTTTAGCAGAGGTCATGGAGTTGCATGTCAGGCTCTTATCCAGAATTACAGTGAAATACTTATTCATGTGTATGACAGAAAAAAGATTTTTAATGTCCTCCATCTTTCTTTCTGGGCATGTCTTGTATTTCTGAATGCCTGGTAGACTAATGAAATCTCTTGGTGATATCTTTGCAGGGAGTGCCTTACTTAGGGAACAGGTGTAGTCTGCAGTACAATTACAGCAGTCTCGGCTTTTGCTGCCTGCAGTCTGAATAAACTTTTCATGCTTTATACTGTCATGCTGTCCTGAAAGATGTCCTGGTTTACTACAGTTCACTACATCAAAATGTTTGGGGAGAGAGTTGGAAATCTTGCCAAAACATGCTATATGCTCTAGGAGGTAAGAGAGGCTAAGAGTTTAAAAGCAGACAAAACTAAACCTAAAACTTGCATATGGGAGCTTTATAGCTCTTGCATGTGAACTGGAGTTAAAAGCTCACAGGGATGAAAATAGTTCATGCTCAAAATACTGAGGAGGGAGAAGTTAAATTATTTACTGTGTTCTTAGTTGTGATCTTCAGAAGCTGTATCTGAAAGATTGGTTTCATGTCTTTGCTCATGTTTGTTTCTTCACGTCTTTGATCACAGTGGTATTTCAGGTATTGCTTCTAAAAGAAAGTTATAGAAGCTAGTAAGTTTTACAGCTCCTGCAGTGCCTTTAAGACACTTTGAACCTAAAAGGAATTGTATGAAAGAATTTCTGCAGTTATACACACAATTTTAAAAAAATCCAGTATAGTTTTGTCCCAGAGATGCAGCTAGTGACAGATGTCCAAGTACAAAAACATAAATCTTCTCTCTAGAGAAATAACTTTTCTTACTAATTTCTTGTATGAAAATGTAGTGCTTTTTTTGAGTGGGTGGAATGACCTCACTACGTGTTATTTCATATTATTTCAGTGTGGTGTTGTATAAATAAATGAGAGGAAGAATGCTACTTCTGTTTTTTTTAATATTAGTGCATCTTATAAATGTGGCAATTCAGAACTGAATACTTTTCTTTAAATCTTTTTACAGCAATATAGACAACCAGTTTCCAGGCCAAGGTGTTCCTGCTGGATTTTCTATGTATCCTGCATTCAGTCCCCTACAGATGATCTGGTGGCAACATATGTATGCACGTCAGTACTACATGCAATAGTAAGTCTGCTTTATCTTAGGTAGTGCTGGGTTACACTAATGAAAGGAAGGTATTAAAAACTTAAATGTTGTTTGCAGGGTCAAAATGTCTGTGTGTTTTTTGTCTGGCAGTGCTGTTTTACACTAAGTTTTGCCCAGCAATTCATAAAATCCAGTTTTGGATTGGAATGAAACTAAGGTATTAATAAGTAAAGATTTAAGGGAGGATGCAGTTTGTTTTGGCATGTGTTACATCTGAAGCTTTGTTCTTCTTAGTGTATAAGAGACAACAAGAATAGGCTTAGAAACTTTTGCGCATGTGTTTTTGACAAACTACTTTTATGTTTAAATTTTTAGCCAAGCTGCTGTTTCAGCCCAAGTGACTTCCAGCACTGAGCCAGTGAGATCTGTGGTTGCCCAGGCTGTAAATTCAGAACGTGCTCCTGCAAATGAGCCTGCAGCAGCGCCAAATGTAGCCGTCCAGGAGAACAGGCCTGTAAACCCGAATGTTCAAATGAATGCACAGGGTGGCCCGATAGTGAATGAGGAGGACTTCAACCGGGACTGGCTGGACTGGATGTACACATTCTCTAGAGCAGCAATTCTTCTGAGCATTGTATACTTCTATTCTTCCTTCAGTCGATTTGTCATGGTAATGGGAGCCATGCTGCTGGTTTATTTGTGAGTACAACAGTTGAGTACAGCTGCAGATCTGATATGTGGAGGATGGTGCTAGTGTAGAATTCATTTAAACTGTGAAAAATTATCCAAATACAAAAGTTTAGGTACTGCTCCTTTACAGTAAAAAATTTGAATTTCAAACAAGCAGAGAAGCTGATATGAAAAAAAAAATTCTCAAAACACTTTTACAGCAATTTGGATCTACTTATACCTGAAACACCAACATTTAAGAGCACTGTGATACTAACAGTATTGTAGAACTGTGGAATTTTGAGATAGAAACTTAGAAAATGGGGTCAAGGGAAAGGAAGTTCACATAGGTGAAGCATATACTTGCATAAACTTAAAAATATTTACTGCTTGTATATGAAAGAAAAACTGCAGAGCAAATCTCATTTATATTTCAAAAAAATTAATGGGATTTGTGCAGTAGATTGTGTTAGGCAGAGTTAAGGTAGTGCTACTGCGACAGTGGGTGCTAGAGCTGGTAGAGTTGCAGGGACTTGAATTTTTTTTATAATGCATCATAAAGACCTAAGCGCTATCTCTGTTATGTTAAGAAATATCAATATTGTTGTCATTACTTCCCTTTATATATCAAAATACCTTAGTGATGTACGTAGAAGTGGGAAACAGCAGTAACGCTTGATATTTTGGACTGATGTCATTCATTGAGAGTTTCCTTCCACTGTAGTCTGCTTCTTATGCAGATATGATAGTTGAAATCAGAATGTAGACACTTGAAAACAGAGTCTTCCTTAATTTACAGCGATAATGTAGTTCAAGCCTTAGCTGAAGTGTAAATTCTTTTTTCGACAAAAAATCAACTTTAAACTATGAAAATTAAGGCTACCTTTGAAAATTAATATAACTTAATTAAAAATTGGGAGGAGACCCAAAAAAAGTATTCTGCATATTCTGCACTTAAACATGGTAACTTATTCATCTTCTGTAACAGAGAGCTGTGAACAGTACTTCTGAAATGTAAAGAACAGCTCTTAGCAAGACCCTTCTTAATCCAGATATCAAAGAATAGCCATTCAATCTAGAAGTGAGACTTGCAGAAAAATACATGCCGCTTCAGTAATTTGAAAGTACTTGAATTTACTGCAGCAGTTAGCTGTAGCAGAAAAATCTTTCTATTCTTTTCAAAAGAGAGGTTTTCAACTGTTCTATTTTCTTACCTAGACACCAAGCTGGATGGTTCCCCTTTAGGCAAGAGGGAGGCCAACAACAGGCAGCCAATAACGTGGAAGTGAACCGTGATGGGCAACATGCAAATAATCCTGATCTTGAAGAGATGGTGAGTAAGAGTAGACATGTCTTTTAAGACTCCGTGTGTGTTACATTTTAAAGTAGGCTGTGATGCCTGGACAGAAAGTCAACTTTTATGAAACGTAATTTAATCAGAAAGCTTTCAGCATTGTCCTCAGTGTTGTGCCTGCTGCTTAAGTTCTATATTTTTCCAGTCTGACTATTGCTGATTACTTCAATCACCAACTTTCTTCATGCTAGTTACTCTTCAGGAGGTTGTTCTGAGTTCGTTTATGTAGGAAGGTACTGCAGGCTACCCTGTGTCAGACATCTGAATAGAAACAGTTGAATTCCTTCAACTTCTGTTTTTAAAGGAACGACTTATGGATGATGGGATTGACGAAGACAGCGGAGAAGATGCAGGTGAAGATGCCAATACAGAGCAGCAGCCTGGATTCATGGCTTCTGCTTGGTCCTTTATCACAACCTTCTTCACGTCACTCATCCCTGAAGGGCCTCCACAGGTTGGCAATTAAAGTGGAAAAGGAACTGTCAGGCAGCCTCAGTAGCCATATGTAGAAGTGGAGCAGATTCTAGAGAGTGTTTTAAATACAGTGCAATTTCTGAAAATTTATAATGTTATCTTTTTGATCATGGTGTACAAAAATGTGTAATTTTTTTCTTTTGGCTTTTTCATGCATTGAATATTTTAAGCACAAGTGGACTACTAAATGCTTTCTTTAAGATTCTTCTTTTTCTGAAGAATAAACTGTAAAGATATTGGTCTTCCATGTTTTATTTTAATTTCAAATGTGTATTATACTGAGGCAAAAAGCTTGCACTTAATCTGCACCATTACCTCTTTAAAGAGCTGTTAAAATATGAATGTTGATGGACCTTTCCAAATGCTATCTATTCATCTGAATAACTTTAATGTATCTTGTGTTAATTTTATGCAGGGTATGAATTATCACCTGGGATTTGGAGTTTATATCAGTCCTGAAAGAATACTGTAAACAAGGATTACTTGTTAATGGCATGTTATCTTCATGCCACAAAATACTAAGCCTCTTCTCATACCTTTAGAAAGCTAAAAGCTTTTTCTTGAGGCTATACTGGAGTTCATTGAAGTTGGAGATGTTTGACAGCTCTTCAAAGACAATTGACAGCGATGAGATAAACCTTAAATGTTTGATACATAGAGTACTTTTTCTTAAAAACATAGCTGTACTGGAGAAAAACATGTACATTAGGTTTTTTAATAAAAACTCTTACGGTAACTGTTTTGGATGTTTATATGCATATTTGAATGCAAATGACTAAGTAGCGCATCATTAAGGATGAGGTTATGATTGATTTGAGTGGAATAAAGCTATCATGGTGGCATTACTGATACTGACTAAAGTGGTATGTTTGTAGCAGTGCATATACAATTACGGGTATGGTCTCAACAGCAGGATATCTGTATTCTTAAACTTAACCTAATTAAAACTGAGAAGAGGAAAACTGGATGTGAGATAATAGCATAGTGCTAGTGTCAGTTTGTTTTCGGTTGCATTCTTTAGATTTTAATCATAGTAGTTTCATTTGGTTTTGTTCCTAATTCTGAAGTTATCCTGTGTTGTTTAACTTAAAAGAATCTTTGCAGCTGTTTTTATACTACAACCAAAAAATACTTTTATCCAATTTTCTGATTTCCAAGTACAGGGCAAAGCTCTTAAATAGGTCTGAACAAGTGAAAAATAAGGGTTTATTTTTTGCTTGCTCATGTCAAACTGCTGAAGCTATGGAGTGAAGTTGTAAAGCTTAAAAAATTTCATTCGGGTTTATACTCCAAAACATTTGTCAGGATTTCTAGTCTCTATTGAGAGTTGACTATCAATTGGGAAAAAAAAAATTTGAATAGTCATTTTAATTTAAGCAGCTTAAATGGGATGTCTTTTGAGTTAGAAAATAATTCTCATTTACAAATCTGTTGGAGAAACAGAAGTGTCTTACAAGCATCACTTATTTGCTTGTATAAATAAGTATATTATAAATCGTGTTTAATTATGATGTTTTACTCCTATGTTACTATGGAGAGTTGCTCTCAATTTAGGTTCTTTTACTACATAAACATAAAATGTGTAGGCCTTGTCCAAGCAATTTTACCCTTTTAATTTGGTGGATGGATCTACCTTGACTAACATTTAAGAACTATTAAAAAAACCTTGTAATTTAGAGGAATAGCACAGAGTGGCAATCTTGGATGTTGTAAGACTTTAACTCTTCACTGCATTCCAAAAATTTCATCTAATTGATGTCTGTGTTCTCCCTCCTACTTTTCCTGGAAGTTCGTATTTCTTTTTGTCCTGGGATTAGTGTATCTGTAACCTGTGCAGTTATGACCTACTGGTGTCCAGCTACTAATAGGCTTCATTTTCCATGCTATAGGAAGCAATTTGTGGTAGCTGTCTGCCATTAGGCTAGATTCAGAAAGCTGCTCTTATGCTGTTAGCCCTGACTTGGTTAAAAAGCATGGAATTGTCACTGCTTGCTTGTGTTCAGACAAAGAGAAATTTGTTTATACGTTACACAATGTTGAGACAGTGAAATGGGAGATCCTGGCTGTTAGTTAGACATTGAGGGAGATGATCTGAGAGTTTTAATTAAATTGTAGAGCAGGAGCAATGAGTTGAAGAAGCCAGACTTCCATGAGAACGTGTAAAGGTCATTGAACCTCCTAGTTTCCAGAGCCTTACCCAGATCTAAGCAAGAAAAAAGCAGAGAGATAGTGACTGAGGAAAACAAGTGAGAAATAATGAGATACGAAGTGTTATGAAAAAGTCATGAAGAGTTGGAGGCAGAGGAAAGCCAATGGGAGGAGCAGAGATAAGAGAAGGTGTGACCATGAATAAATATGAAGCAAACATTGAACAGCAGATTGAGGCAAGATAGGTGCTTTTTTTTTTTCTTTTTGGAAAAGGAAAGAGCCTGATGAAAATTAGTCTGATCAGGTCTATGATTTATGGGTTTCTGAGCAATTGAGGTATACAATTGAACAGCATGAAATATGTAATAGGTGATGATGGAATAAATATGAAAACCCTAGGAAAACAGTTCCTTTTTCTTAGTGTACCCTTGTTGTAGGAACTGTTCTATAGCATAAAACCCCCACAATTATGTAGTATATGGCTGTAGGCGAAGCCAAGATGCTGAACTGAGGCAAATCTATTACATGAGATGGAACAAAAGGCATGAAGATTAAGGCAGCGTAGGATGTGCCCCACTATTAATGGTTCTGTAACATGCCTGTGCCTCACCTGCTTTTACAACTTTGAATACAGAAAAAGTGGTTGAGATGAATCCTTTACCTTACGGGAAGACATGAAATGACAGATACACAGACTTCCTCTAAATGTAGGGAATCTAATAGCAAATCTATGCCAGCACATGCAACAGCTTCACTGTGTTAAGGCAGAGTGTGTCACACCAGAAACGATTGAAGCATGTTCCACCCATAATACTACTTGCTGTGAAGAGACACAGATGAGCTCAGCAGTACTGATTGAGCAGGTGTATGAAGGGAGTAACGTATAGCTGCTCAATATTTTGTGCTTACTCTAAAAAATACTTTGCAGCTGATGTATGTCCATACATACATATCTGCACTGACCTCTTGATAACAATTTACAGTGTGTTTAGCAGTGGGACCGACTGTTTAACAAACATGGTATAACATAAACTCAAACTGGAGAATACTTGGGTGCAAAATAGCAAAGGGATCCTTTTGCTTCTGTTAACTTGTGAGTTCACAAGCTCTTCCTCATGCTACTGTTTGGTTTGGAGACCTTGACAGCAGCATTGGCTTTTCAGTCACTCCCTGTTCCCCTTAAATTGAAGTAACTTGGAGAGAAATTACCACATGGTACTTCAGGAAAAGGCTGCTTTTGGTGCAGATATACTCTGCTACCTTCTTACAGTTGCTGCGGCAGAAGGAAGAAAAAAACATTGCCTGTGAAGTTTGTAACGGTAATGGGTGATGCAAAAATCACTTAACTTCTATCATATGGTATAAATAATTATATGTTTCTGCTGCTTGTTTCCTGTACAACCTAAATGTTTTCCAGCATAGGCCTTTTTTTTAGCAGCCTTCTCTATTGCAAGGAAGCAGTTCAGAATTTACTCCAGTGTAGCGGTTATAAGCTCTGACCTGTTTTTTCTGGCTATGTTCAGGTGGGCAGTGGGAAATAAAACTGCAGCCTGGCTGGGTGCACCCTTCTCAATAGGTTGCAGGCCTGCATTTACTCTGGTGCAAGCTAGCTGCCAAGGCGTCCAGGGTGATACCGTGTTGCTTGTGCTTGGGAAGCTTTGATTCTGCAGGTGTTCAGGTTAAGTTAATGCCAGTGTGGCTTTGCGTGTGGGTGATGAACGCTGCTTTCAGGTTGCAGTGTTAGTATAGGTGGGATGGTGCAAACTGGGAGCGAGTTTTATAGCTCACAGCCCTTGTTTGCTTCAAAGCTGCTGCTTGTCTGAGTAACAAGATAATACAAGGTAATAAATAATGTTTCATCATGATTCCCACCCCAAAAAAGGGGGTTTGGCCATTCTGCGTGGCAGTGGCTCTGGATGAGTGCTGGGCCCGGAGCATCTGTTCAGCTACTGCCACGTTGCAAGGAACTTTCTTGCTCTCAGCTGGATTTATTCACTTGCAGCTGTCCATGCAAGGCCTTGCTTTTGGAAAAAAGCTGGAGTGACTGCTGTGAATGCTTAGCTGTTTAGACTTACTCACAAGATAAGCTACCCAGCAGCACTGGCTGGAGAGGAGGGAGGCACATACTGTATCTGAACTAGCCATTAAAAAGGCTAGGGCTGGCTAACTTAACTTTTTTCTCTTAGAATTTACAGAGGCAAGAACAGTGGGAGAATGCCCAAGCTACATAAACAGTATTTCCACTTCTTTACCAAAATGTTAACTTGTGCTTGTTTTAGAGCTTTATACTTTGTTTAAACAACATGGGGAAATGTTGCTGTATAACAATAAATACTCATGTTTGGTTTTTTTTTCCCCATCTTAATGTGATTCCGTGATACTGATTTCACTGCTTGAATCGTTGTCAGGGCCTGGGATGATGAAGCTGAAGGCGTGCATTCTGTTGATCTCTTTGTTTAAACTTTCATTTAATGCTTTGCTCTGTGGGCCTTACGAGAGTGTAGTTATGTGCCACTTTGGTAACAAAGTTGGTCCTAAAATTTTTCAAGGCTGTTGGGAGGAGTAGAAAGGAAAGAAGGATTGTATCCCTAGAATTTAACTCGGGCTTCTCATGGAACACCATGTGATGTTAACTGATTTTCCTTATCCTTGGATAGTTTTAGCTGTCCTAGGAACAAACTGCAAAATTACTGGTCATTTTTGGAGTAGGGAGCTTATACCAGGGAAGTTGCAACTGCAGTTTAAATCTCACGGTGGTGAGACATGTGCGTGTGTAAGTAAGACAAAACTTGCAGAATGACTGTTGACATTTTTTCCTAGCTTTGCAGAAATCCGGGGAGGGAGACTCTAGATGTGAGGAGTTTATGGGACAGAAGTAAATGGAGTAATTTCTAAAAATCTGGGAAGGTTTTTTTTGTGTGTATGTACATGTTTTCCTTATACGTGCAGAAAGACTGCTCTGACCTTCACTGCTGCTTGGAAAGGAAAGCCAAAACCTGGTCTTTGTGTTAAAAGTTAACATGTTTGGGTGGCTTTCGTAAAGCGTTTTGGCTAGTAACCTGGCTCAAGGTTAAATTGTAGTACTGAACTAACCGCAGCAATGTGAAAATAACACTGCCGAGAAAATAGGCGACGTGTCTAGCCGGTGAGCATTTGATGCTCCAATTTGTTAACCAGAGATAATTAAGGAAATGAGTAATAGACAAAATAAGAAAACACGTCATAGGTGACGGGATAATTCCGGGAGGAGCCAGGCCC